TTTTTGGTCAATAGACACAACATGAATAGTGATCAAGTGACTTGTAGCAGGTTTTGTCAGCAGGCCAAAAATCATTTTGTAACACGAAGATAGCATCGCTGCCAATTTTTTAAACTAATACAAATAAACTAGCGAATACTTCAAGTGCTTTTTGGGTTTTAATGTATGCACTGAGATTACTGAATTAGAATTTATTTCTGTGATTAACTACACACAACAGCAATCCTTGTATTGACAAGTAGGAGTGATTATTGCAGTAATAAGTAGCCTGCAATGCACCAGGGTGTGTGTGTGTTTTAATCTGGTTTCCCTCCCTGGATGATATATGTCGTCTGTAGGAAATAAACTACCTGAATTATTCTGTGAATGTGAGACATTTGCATCTGACTGCAGAATATCTGAATTAACAGTTGTGAGGCCCATCTGCTTGTATCAGAACTGAATCTAAAAACATTCCAAATTTGGTGAGAACTGGAAGGATCAGGGTGTAGGTGTGCATCAACATAGGGGAGCATCTGTAGTACACAGATACTGTGTGTGAATATATGTACATATATATGTGTGTGCGCATATGGAGAGAAAGAGATCTCCATCTCTTCAGTTACTCATCAGGGGAGAATAATTATATAAAAGTTACCTGGTTGTGACATGAGCAGACAGAACACTTTAAACACTCATAAGAGCATTTGAGATACATTCACAGCATCCTAAAGTGTTCCTTTTGATGTTATCCAGCCGAGGATTTCCTGGCAGCCAGGAGAGCAGGCTCAGTCCCCTTGCAGGGCGTCAGGTGGGGTTCCCCCATTGCTGCCCAGCCCCCCCAGCCTGGCTGAGGGAGCCTCTTCACCTGCAGCTCCTGGGCCCAGTTTTCCCTGGAAGCAGGGTGCCAGAGCAGATGCTGCCAAGTCTGCTGTCAGTTCCTACATTTAATCTTCCTGTGAGTGCTCTGTGTTCCACCTTCATTTTATGCTTATGAAAGATGGGATAAGTGCAAATTTATGCTAAGATTAGCCTCCTTTTAGTTTAGCATGAGATCATAGCCATGTGCTTGAGAGAGATGGTTCAAGAGGTTGCTAGTCCCCCTCCTGCAGTGAGGCACAGTGCCGGATCAGGCACAAGCTTTTGAAGGGTTTGCTGCACAACAACAAAGCACAAGGGCCAAAAAATAGCCCCAAGCATCTCGAGATTAATGGGGAATGTTTTCTAACCTGCACTTCCAACCTCTCTCTTCTCTTGCAGGTTGGATACATAAATAGGTTATTTTTTCAATACGCTCCTTTGCAGCTAAGGGTGCCAGCTAGGTCTTGTCCTATCAAACAGGGCACAGAGGACACTTAATTTCTTCTAGCTAAGTACTCAATGATTTTCTTCTCCTGTTGCTTAGAGAAAAAACTAATTATGTACAAATTTGTTCTCTGTGGGCTATTTGTGGGCCTGGTCCTTAGCTGGTGTTATGGCCATCCGTCCCCCGTGCTGTGCTGCTGTGAGAGTGCTGCATTACATCCTGTAAGAAATTACACAGATTTATGTTCTGAAGTAGTATTGGGGACAAGGAAGAGAAGGTGTTGCTTGGTTGACTTGTTGCATGTCACCAGCACCACAGAAATAAAACAGGATCCAGCTGGACCAGGATCTTCTGTCCAGTTTACTCAACTTCTGACCTGATCCTTTGCTTGCCACAGACCCTGCCTTTTATTTCCCTTTCACCACAGCCGGTGGTGCTACCATCTGCCCCTGGAGCAGTCAGGAATAATTGGATTCCATGGAAAGTGCTCCCAAGGGGATTCATGGCAGTTTGCCTCCATCACACCACCACATTCCCCAGCCTCACATTCACCATCCTCGCCTGCTTCCCTCCCTCCTGCCTCCAGCCACAACGAGGGAAAAGCTCCTTGCATTGAGGGGCCTCGCTTGGCTTTAATAAAGCAGTGGATCATAATTAGAACCCACCACCCACCTCTGGAGAGAAGCTGTTTCCAAATGAAGTTTATTATCCTGACTGAATGCGAGCAAACACATCTCAGAGGGGAGCTTTTAAGAAGGCAATTCCTTGCGATGCTCAATACCCTTTTTCTCCCCTCCTGGCTGGCGTTTCAGCCCAGCTAACCAATTTTGTACCTTTATTCCCATGAAGAAGCTGAGAAGGGGGGAGGTCGTGTGTGTTTTTCTAAGCCTGGCCTACACTGGAAGCCACTTGCAAGTTCAGAGTGCTGCTTTGCTCAGTTTCTCGTGTGCAAACATGCTGTGAAGCAGTTAATGTCTGTAAAGCCTTTGTGGGCGTCAGCTCCCCGTGGAGATGAATGGGGACGTTCGGGCATCTCAACTACAGTTTCCTGTAGTTCATCAGCTGCACGGGGTAGTCCTTTTTCTGGACGCTCTCCCATCAATCATCACAACTGGAGACGTGATTTTTTTTTTAAGTCAGCTCTCGGCTGCTTTGGAGAGAAGAAAGGTTCCGATGAAAGAGGCACTTTCTCTGGTGTTTTGGGCACGGATTAGTTTGAAGCCAAGAACTGGCTTGTCCTTATCTCCACCTCCAAAGGTGTAGCTCCTGCAGCACCTCCAACAGTGAGTGCTGAAAGCTGTGAAGGTTTCAGGTGGGACACAAAAAACAGCTTCCAAGAGCAAGACCCCCTCCCTTCCCACAAAGGCAGGAAAACCCCAGCGGTCCCTCCTCCCTGCGGGGTGTTCTCCGGGCTCCCTTACTGTGCCTCCCGCTGCCACTGGCATCCAATCTACAAACCGCAGCTCGATTTCTGGGAGGACCTTTACCTCGAGCTGAAGTTCGTGGTTTTCGGGTCTGCAGCTGCTGTGCACAGCCGGGGAGGGGGCGGAAGGTTACTCTGCCGGCGGGCGAGGGATCCTTCCCCACCAGGGCTGCTGCCGGCCAGGAAAGCGGTGCTGTCCCGCCGCAGGGCGGGATGCTACCCGGCGAGAGGAAGGGGGTGCTGAGCGGCGAGCAGGGAGAGATGCTTTCCCTCAGGAGGAAGGAGGCGGCGAGCAGGTGCCGGCAGAGCCGGGCCGGGGCGGGGGGCGGGCCGGGGGCTGGCGGCGGCGGCGGGGGGCGGGGGGCTGCCGGCAGCGCCCTCCCCGCCCGCCCGGGGGGCGCGGCTGCGGCGGAGGCGGCGGCGGCAGCGCAGCCGCGCGGAGCGGAGCGGGGCCGGGCCGGGCTGCAGGTGAGGGCACGGGGGGCACGGGGGACGTGGGGGGCACGGGGGGCCGGGGCTGGGGGGCGGCTCCGCCTCGGGGGGACCCGCAGGGGCGGCGACACGAGCGGGGTCCCGGGGCCGCCTCCGCGGTCGCTGCCCTCGGATCCCCGCACGCCCTCGGAGGGGTCCGGCCGTGGGGGGCTCCCCGTGGCCGGGCGATGCCGGGCGGGTCCTGCTGCGCACCCGCGAACGCCCCCAAAACTTGCCGGGCGCGGGGGCGGCGGAGCCGGGCTGCGGGATGCGCTCGGGGCAGCGGCTGCTGCGGGTGCGCGCTCACACGGCTCTGACAGCTCCGCTCGGTCTCCCCTTAAAATAGGCTCATTAAAATAATAATAATTTTTTAAAAACCCAGATGTGCTGCGGGGGAAGCGTGCCCCGGAATCCCCATTTAATCACCCTACTCCTGAAAAGCAGAGCACGAAATGCCGTGTAAAGCCCTGCCCGGAGCCCCCGAGCCCGTCCTGCAGAAGTTGGTCTGTTTGTGGTAACACCTTTTTGCATCGTTCTATCCAAAAGGTTCTGATGATGTTTCGAGGCAGAGCTTTTTGCTTTTTTTTTTTTTTTTTTTTTTTTGCTAAGGTTGACACACATCTTACAACATCATGTCTTTGATGAGCACACACCGTGTTAATTGAGGTTGCCATGGGAGGCATGCACGTAGTATAAATAAGCTCCCTTCTTGCCATGTGATTTTCGCTTTTGTATTCCTCAAGCCTCCTTTTTGTATTCTCTGTTTTTGCATATTGTCATATGGTGCATTAAAGATAAAAATATCTGCTGTCTCAGGGTGTAATTTCCCTAGCTGGAACTATAAGTGCATATGGAGAAGTGGGGAAAGGATTTAGCAAACCGTAGGAGAAGGAAATATGTGTGTGCCTCTGTAATAAGTATTCGCCATAATTTGGGCAGTTATATTAAAAAAGTCCCTTTTTGTCACAAAAAATACCAAAATAGTACTTTCTGTGACGGAACATCACTGGGTTGACATCTTGTGGCCTTATTTTGCCTTTGGATATTGATGCTAATTAGTGAAAAAAACCTGCTATAGTGCATCCAGCCCTGGTCTGCCTCCCAAAATGAAATATTTAGGGAGAAAAAACTTTTTAGTACTTCTTAAAAATTTCTCTACGGGTCTTATCACTCATTTATTGTGTTCCAGATAAAAAGATGAAAGCCTCGGTCATGCTTTGCAGCAAATTTCATGTAACATACAAGGGGAACTGAAGCAGAAACCAAAGCCAAGGCAAAGCAGCATCTGACCTTGTCACTGGGGGGCAGAAAACAGCCGCTGGTTCCACTGGTGCTTCAATCAAGCTCCCTGGGCAATGTGGAATTGCAGAGAGCTCACAAAGTGCAAGTTCCTTCCAGGTCCGTGGGGTGAATAAAAGTTGTTAATTCTTGGCTTGATTTGTCATCCTTTGGGGGCAAAAAAAGGTATGTCAGACTGGCAATTATACAGTTAGACCGAGCACAAGTGGAAGTGGGTTGCTCCGGAGATGAGAGTGACTGAGGCCAGCAAAGCCAAGGAGAAGCCTGTTCAACTCCACATCTCCTCGGGATTCCTTGGAGAGGTGATAAAGTGAGTAATAAGGAGAAGTGGGAGTTATAAAGTAAATGTGACAGCTCCAGCAGAACTTCTTCTCACTGCCACATACGCTCGTTACAAAGCAACTAATGTTATTTGGAAATCTATTTGAGGAGAAAATGCACTTTGAGCATCTCTGCAGTTCTTGTGTCTGAAACATTGATCAGGAGAATCGGCAGCACAACGCCAACAAAGGAAAAGAGAATATGGTGAAGGCAGCTAAAGAAATTCAAATGGAGAACCCAAGAGAGGCAGAGACTCCCAGCACAGGGGCCACATGTTCCCCACCAGAGGAACAAGCAAAAAAACCCTCTATGCTCTGTTTTAAGAAGCAGAAGAAGTCCTGTAAGAAGGGGCTGACTGTGAAGGATACGTGCGAAGGAGCCTCAGAAGAGAAAAGCCAATGTGTCAGCGCTGACCAAGAGGAGGCAAAAGCTTCCAATCCATCACGATCCTCCAAAGGAACTTGGGCAGCCATCAAAAACCTTGCCAAACCTCGGAGAAGGCAGAAGTCCTCCTCACGGAAGAAGGTGCCCTCTGATTCCCAAGTGCAGCTGGAGGCGGATGCTGAGGAGAGCTGTGCGCGAGACCTCCCAAAGAAACGGGCGAGCTCTGGGGTGAAGATGCCCTGTGTGAGATTCTCCAGAGGCAAGAAAAAACCCAGCCCCTCAGAAGCAGTGGAGGAGTCAGAGGGCAGTGTTCAAGCAAATGAAGTGATGGGTGTTGTGAATAAGGCTAGTGAAGAGCCAGAGGATTTGGCCCCGACGGACAAATCTGAATCCTTCAGCCCAGTCTCTGCACAGGATGAACGGGATACGGTGAAGCAGGAGCAGCGTAGAATAAAAGAGGACAAGGACAAAATGAAAGAGGATCAGGATACAGTGAAGGAGGACCAGGATACGGGGAAGGAGGACCAGGATACAGTGATAGAGGACCACGATACAGCAAAGGAAAGTGACACCTCTGTTGGGAAGAGTGAGCCCTTGACAGAGCCCACATGTGATGCAGAGGAACATTCGGAGTGCACTGTTCAGTTGGAGATAACCCATTCAGAGACAGCTGATGAAACAGCCCAGGACAAACTGCAGGAAGGGAGCCTACCCCAAATCACCAACGATGCAGAGGGTAGGGAAGTTGCTCCCGAAGTGCCTGTTCCTAAAGACCAATCTGACAATGTCCCTGAAATCACAGAGTGGCAGGAAATCCCTAATATCTGCAAAGAGATGCCTGAAAGGGATGAACTGGAAAAGAGCATAAATTTTCCTAAGGAGTGCAAAGCCGAGGAGTCTGTAACTGATTTCAGTGAGTTGGCATCTGGAGGTGATGCAGCAAGTGTGCAGGAGGCAGTGAGTGTGCAGGAGGCAGTGAGTGTGAAGGATGCAGTGAGTGTGAAGGATGCAGTGAGTGTGAAGGATGCAGTGAGTGTGAAGGATGCAGTGAGTGTGCAGGATGCAGTGAGTGTGCAGGATGCAGTGAGTGTGCAGGATGCAGTGAGTGTGAAAGATGCAGTGAGTGTGCAGGATGCAGAAAGTGTGCAGGATGCAGTGAGTGTGCAGGATGCAGTGAGTGTGAAGGATGCAGTGAGTGTGCAGGATGCAGTGAGTGTGAAAGATGCAGTGAGTGTGCAGGATGCAGTGAGTGTGAAAGATGCAGTGAGTGTGCAGGATGCAGAAAGTGTGCAGGATGTCACAAGTGTGCAAGATGCCACGAGTGTGCAGGATGCGGCAAGTGTGCAAGAGGCAGTGAGTGTGCAAGAGGCAGCAAGCATGCAAGATGCCACAAGTGTGCAGGATGTCATGAGTGTCCAAGAGGCAGCAAATATGCAAGAAGCAGTGAGTGTGCAGGATGCAGTGAGTGCACAGGATGCAGTGAGTGTGCAAAAGGCAGTGAATGTGCAAGAAGCAGCGAGTGTGCAGGAGGCAGTGAGTGTGCAAGAGGCAGTGAGTGTGCAGGATGCAGTGAGTGCACGGGATGCAGTGAGTGCACAGGATGCAGTGAATGTGCAAGAGGCAGTGAATGTGCAAGAAGCAGCGAGTGTGCAGGAGGCAGTGAGTGTGCAAGAGGCAGAGAATGTGCAAGAGGCAGTGAGTGTGCAAGAAGCAGCAAGTGTGCAGGATGCAGTGAGTGCACAGGATGCAGTGAGTGTGCAGGATGCAGTGAGTGTGCAGGATGCAGTGAATGTGCAGGAGGCAGTGAGTGTGCAAGAGGCAGAGAATGTGCAGGATGCAGCAAGTGTGAAGGGTGCAACAAGTGTGAAGGATACAGCAAGCGTGCAGGATGCTACAAGTGTGCAGGAGTCAGCAAGTGTGCAGGATGCAGCGAGTGCACAGGATGTATCAAGTGTGCAGGAGGCAGTGAGTGTGCAGGAATGCTCCAGCCATCAGATATTAGAAGCAAATGCAGGTGCTGGTGTCAGCATCGTCATCACCATCACCGAAGCTGAGGACTCCGACAACACCGACTCTGACCAGGCTTATGAGCCGTCCCCAGTTTTGCGCCAAAAAAAGCAAAAAGGGAATAAAAAATTGAACAGGAATGCTGATGTTGGTCAAAAAGAGGGCCCCGAGGCTGGTGACGGTCCCCAGGCAGAGGAGAAAGGTCTGGGTGACCAGGGGCACAGAACTGGGGAGCAGTACGAATTGCTCCTTGTAGAAACCGCCTCTTCACTTGTGAAGGCGGCCATTCAGTCATCCATAGAGCAGCTGGTCAACGAAATGGCCCTGGAACAGAATAAACACAACAGCTTTCTGTGATGGCAGCCTTGCCCCAGAGAGAAAGAGTAGAGGGAGTGATTTCAAGCTCCATTTGGCCTGCGGGGTGTGTGGAGAACTCGGAGAGCTCCCGGGGCCGAGGTGTAGTTAATTCTGCATGCCCGTTCAGTTGTGTGTCTACGTGGAACAGATCCCGGGATGTGGGCAGACCCTGCTGAGTGCAGTGCATCCCCTGGGGCTTCAGACAGCGCCACTGACCACAGCTGCGGAAAAATTAAGATGTTACAGTGACTGTATTTTCACTTATTGGCACATTTATGTCAAGGCCACATTTCTGCCGTCACCCATGTCCTATTTCCCCGCTGCTCACGCTGCAGATCTGTACATACCATGTGTTTGAAGAAAGGTCCTGAGAGGCAGTGAGTGCCTGTCCTGCTGCTGGGCTGGATTTGGGGCACGCTGAAACAGCTGGAGGCTTGCTGGGGCTCTACTGCAGATGAGGAAGAGTGAAGTGTCTGCAATATTAACATGGAAGCATCATTGCCAGGCTGTGTTTTGTGCTGTGAACAGGCCCTCGCTACGCACAGGCACCAGGAACCGCGGTCACTGCTGTCGCATGAAGCCGGCGAGTTCCAGCGAGCTCCCTCTCTCCTTCACTCGGCCTCTCCCCCGTCACAAGCAGCCTGTGCATCTCCAGATTCGCTCAAGCTCAGCATCGGCCTCGCCTCGCTGGCCCCGGGCTGCGCGAATGCCAAGAAAGCGACAGCGCCTCGTTGGCTGCGGGGCCTTTCTCGCACCACGAAACCCAAGGGGCAGAACTCCCTGCTGGGCTGGGCGAGAGCAGCTCTGCCACAGGCAGCCCCTCTCCTCCCTCGCCTCCCTCCCTCCCCATCCCGCTGTCGTGGTGAAGCTCTCCTCAGATGTAGCATATTTTTTATACATGGCATGCGATATAAATAGCAGTGAGCTGCATGCGTGTTAGCAGTCAACATAGTTTGGGAAGCTGCCGTGTGCTGCCGGCGCTGGGATTGCTTTGGTTCGGTCTGAGTGCCGCTGGCATCCCTGGCTGCTGGCGGCAGCCTGTCCCTCACCGCTCCCCGCTCGAAGCAGAGCCCTCCTGCCTTCATCCAGCCCAGGCATCCCTTGGGAATGGTGCATTATGCCCGGCTCGCTGCCACCAGGCTCTGGCACGCCATGTAGCTCGCTCTGAAACATGCAGGGAAATGCTGGAGCAATCTTACCAAAGTCCTCAGGGAAAAAAATCCAGACATGAGGGCCTGAGGACATGGCTGGAAAATGCCTGGACAAGCCTACTGCTGTCAAACCCCCGCGAACTGCCCTGCCCCAAGGGGGTTTGCACAGGGCTAGCGTGCGTGTGCGAGCATCACCTCCAACTAGCAGCTCTCCAGGAGAAAGGGGCCTTTTAATGACATGGGATTGCATCTGCGTGGCTGGGAGTTGTGTCCAGCTGTGGGCAAGGCAGTGTGTTCCTCTGAGACAATTCTCCTGCGTGTTCCTCAGCCGGCACAGAAATAGCAGCCGCGCTTGGCAATTGCTCCCTGACCACGCGCTGAGATTTCCCTTCCCAGCGCAGACTTTGGATTCCTGCTGAAATACAAGGGCTGTACCTGTCCCTTGTACCTGGTGCAAACCATGTTTTAAACCTCCTTAAAACATCTCCTCGATGTCACAAGAGGACTGCGAGCAGCAAGAGCCACAGCTCAACTCTGTGCAAGTAAAACTTAAAAAAACCCAGAGGGTGGTAAAGAAAAAAAAAGTGTCTTTTTTTTTTTTTCTGTGAATTTGTTTATGAAGTTATCAGCTATTGATAATTCAGTGTGTACAACTTTAATGGCTTTTTACTTCATACTGGTCCTTTCAGATATTTTGCCATAGTTTTGAAAAAGGGACTTTTAAAAGACTTTTAGATGTACCCTTAGAGCTGCCACAGCACCCTGGGAAGAGCCATCCTGACACTGGGAGTGGCTTACGGGATTACACTGGGCACTGTGGCAGGCTGGTGCTGAGCAAGGGGCTGCAGCGTTGCTGTGGGATCTCACTGGAGTCAGCTGCACAGGAGGATGTCCAAGCTTCAGTAAATAAACACAAAATAACCCCACAGGGCCAGGCTGTCATCCTCTATCAGCCTGCTAAGCTGTTCTGGGAGGATTTTGTGTTATTTCAGTATGGCCTTTTAGGTGAAACACATCTTCAAAAAAGGAGGAGAATGGCAGAAATGCTTAGTCCTGCCCTGCCCTGCGACTTGCTCTGTGTCAGGGGGTTGGTTTGCATCCTCTCTTTTAGCTGGTTTTCCCTCTGTTACAGCTGTACATAGAACTGATGATTATTTCATTAAAGCTGAATGTACCTGTTGTTTTTTTGCCTTGTGATTGAGTGGGCAGCTATGGAGAGATTTTATATGTGAAAGGATTAACTCACAGTGGTGCTCTGTTGTGTCCAGCTTTTTCAGGCAGTCATACAGTGAGCAGAGAGAAATCTTAATGTTGGTGGCAGATCCAAATTCTTTGGAGGTTTGCTCCTCCTCTGCCCTTTCTATGATGTTTCCTTTTAGTTGCTGGTCAATCACTTCCACTGCAGAGTCCTGGCTGCCCAGGGACTGCTGTAAGGAATTTGTGAAGGATCACAAATCTCTGGCAACTAAGAAAAGCCATCCTGCTGCCCCATGGTTAAACCCCTATTAGATACCCTGTGGCACCAGAGGAAAATGTTCGAGGCTCTGCAGACTGACAAGGGTCAAACCCCACTGCCAATGGAATGGCACAGCTCTGATTCCATGCAGGAGGTTTGGTTTCTCTGCAAGCTGCTTCCTGCTCCCAAGGCCTGGGATTGCTGTTTCCAGATGCACAGTTTGGTGCTGACAGCGTTCAGGTTGGGGCTGGCATTTTGGGAGGGGGAGCAGCACATTTGGTGTTTCGGCACTTTCTGTGACAGATCAAATCAGTCCCACACCCTAATTGGTTTGTTTTTGCATAATGTCCTTCATGTAATTTCTTGAGACACTTTAAAATGTACACAAAATATGGGGGAAAGTTATACATTTTTAATAGTATTAATACTATTTATTCTTTCAGGTTTACAGAACAAGATATAGGCTCATAACAGCCGCTAATGACTTAATTAAGATTCTCTACTCCTTCCTTATGATTAGAGAGTAGAACATTAATAAAACATTTATTCTTTCATAGAAGGAATGATAAATTTACTATTGTGAAAGAGTGCCGGGCCAGGGAACCTGTGAGGATGTGGCTGCATGGTTGTGCCAGAGCACCAAAGGGTGCCCTGACTTTAGGACCATCATCCTCACCAACAGCTAAAAAAATCTGGAATTACCATAGAATCACAGGATCATTCAGGTTGGAAAAGACCTCTAAGATCACCAAGCACTGCCAAGGCCACCACTAAACCATGTCCCCAGGTGCCACATCTATATATTTTTAAAATCCCTCCAGGGATGCTGACTCCACCACTGCCCTGGGCAGCCTGTTCCAATGCTGGACACTCCTCTCAGGGAAGAACTTTTTCCTGATATCCAATCATTTTTATAGCCCCATTCAGCTTGCTTATGAGCTGTCTGGCTCCTTACCCAGAAATTCATTGCTTGCTGTCCTCTGAATTATGGAAGTGGTTCTTCAGCTCACCCCACAGCCTGTGCTGCTGCTTTTGTCCCAGATGTTTCCAGTGCTCTCCTCAGTGGGGACAATTCAGCTCCATATCCAACAAGTTCCCTGTCTCTGCTCTGCTCTGCTGTGTCATTTTGAATATTTTCATCTCCCACAGCTTTTTTATATTAGCAGCAAAGAAAAGGGTGGTTAAATAGTATAAGTCATATGCAGAAAGGCTTCCAGGGAGATAAAAAGCTTTTCTGTTAAGTCAACACTGAGCCCAGCAGAAAACAAGTGTATCCATTGAAAAATTCCTTGTGGAAACTGCCAGTAGACAATGATGGCAGAAACAAATATTGCATTTTCTTTCCTGCTCTGGGTCAGCAAAAGTGGATTAGAAATGCACAGGGCCGGATCTCCAGCTGCTGAAGGTCACAGCAGCTCTACAGGCTTCAAAGCACTGACTCTGGAGCAGCCAGAAATCTGGTGTTTGAATCCAAGATGCAATCCCCACACAAATCATGGACATTCTCATATGCAACTTGTATAAAAGTGAAGATATGGTTGTGGGGGGGTCTTGCTGTTGCTTTTGTGAGGTTTGGGCTGTTATGTTTTTTTCACAAATGTATGTAAGAAATGGAGTAAATTCACAAAATACATGGGAATCCTGGTTTGCACTTACTTGGAATGGATGGATGGATGGATGGATGGATGGATGGATGGATGGATGGATGAAAGGCAGACCCACATGCTACAGGCAGTAAAGCCCTAATGTTTCCTGTGTTACAGATAGAACTTTTCAACATGAGTAACTCAAAATTAACTGCTCCAAGGAAACAGATTGATTTAAATAATTGCTTTAGTATGATTTTACCTCTGCGGTTTTATTTCCCAGAGAAATGGTTCTTGTCAGCTCTTGTTGGGTGGTACTAAAATAATTAAATATTTTTCATTTGCAAACAGACAAAATCTTAACATTAAATGTGACTTAAAAAAAAAACTAATCAGACTATGTCATTTCTTATACGGTTATTTAAGCTACAATATAGGTTAACGTTTTTTAGGAAGCACAGCTTTCACATATCTTTCTTTTTTGCAAAGAATTGTGAAGAGTGCAGTTCTGTGCCAAATGATAGGAATTTTCTGCTGTGGGGTTAAAGTCCACTTAGCCAAAAAGTGGATTTCAGCAAAAATACCCAAACACAGCATTTTAAAGTAGGTTTTATTATATAAAAACTGACAAAAAGGCTGGATACAAAAGGGAGGGAGATGGTAAAAAAACATATTTTGCAATTCAGATTGTTAAGATGAAAGTACCATCTGCAGCTTGAACTGGCAGTCACCCTGTCAGTCCTGAAGTTAGACCTCGCAGAGATCTGCCTTCCAAACCTCTTTAATCTGGAAGAGGTGACAGCCCCCATCAAGATGGGTGCTCCAGCAGGGTCCCTTCTGCAGGTACCGCTGTCCTTTCGGGAGGTGCCTTTCCAATGCCAGGTCCTTACCGGGGTAAGGTAACACACCAAACATCACTTTGCCTTTGTCCCTGAGAGAAGATTTCCTTCTGGAGAGGGATGCCGTCTCTGCTCCCCAGCTCCAGTCACTCGTGTCACATTTGCTCTCTCCATTTGCCATTTTAATGAGGACTGGAGGCCGCGGTGCCGGTGTGTCAGGGCTCAGCTCGGCGTGACGGCAGCCTGCTGAGATGGCAGCCGGGTGGGAAGCGCAAGGACCGCGACTCCTACGGAGCTCCTGAGCATCCCCCCGGGAAGGGGGAGCGGCGCTTCCCCGCTGCTGCCGGCAGCCCCCGCCGCTCCCTGCCTGCCAAACCTCGCAGACTGCGCCTCACGAAGGCGTCGGGCTCCGGCGCAGCCCAGACAGCCTGAAACCGAATTTGCATTCCATTTCCTAGCTGGAGCGAGGCAGGGGAGGCCGAGGCTCGGAGACTCGCGTCCCGAAGCTCCCTGACGTGTGTCGGGCAGCCTGCGGGCAGCAGGAGCGGGCTGGGGGCCCGGCCGGCGAGCGCAACAGGCACAACAGGACGGCGCACCCGCACCCCGATCATTAGCGCGATGAGTAAGCGAATAGCGAAAACAGCTTGGCGGGGGATGCTCGGCCCTAATGACAGGCTGGGGCCCCTGCCCTGCTGGCTCCGGCGCTGCTGCGGGTGGCGGAGGCTGCCGGAGCGGGTCCCTGCCGGGATGGCTGTGGGCAAAAGGGAGGCGCGGAGCTCCAGCCGCTGCTCCCGGTGCTCCGGCTCGGCTCGGCTGCACGCCCACCTGCATCCTGTCTCCATGGCTGACACCACTGTCTGCCTGCCACGAGGTTCTTCTCCTGCGTCCATCAGCCCTCCACGGCTCGCCGCCCTGGTTTCCCTGCCCTAGCGCCTATAGCTGGCTTTAAGTCCTAAAAATAATGGGTTGCAAATCCCAGCGATTGCTAGGAGGGACAGAGGGCTTTAGACAGTGTTTTCTTGTTTGTGCCAGAAACAGGAGGGTTCACACGGACTGAACATTGCTGCACTGCCCTGTGCATGCCGGGAGGTACCTCCAAGGCACGGGCTGCCTGGAGCCCCCCAAAGCTTCCCAGGGCCATCTTCGCTCAGGGGACACTCAGTGCAGCAGAGGAGGCTGACAGCTTTGCCCTGCCTTTGTTCCGAGGGTGCAGCCTCTGATTTAGAACAGTTGGTGGAGAACACTTCCTCTCCTAGGCTGCTTTTGAAGTTGTGTCATTACTTCTTCTTAATGAAACATGCAAATCCTGTATATGCTGTGATTGCATCTCAGAGAACTCAGTCTTGACACAGCTCTGGTTGTAAATATTTAACTGGCATGTAATTTAGGGCACATCCATCCTCATTACTTTTTTCTCACGATTTCTTATTGCTCAGAATATATTTTCCTAGTGCTGGACTGCTGGGAAGCCCATTCTGTTGGAGTCATTTTTGGCAATCCTGGGGAAGAAACTGAGTTTTATGAAACAGGGAACCTGAAGATCATGGCAGAGGTGTGGCATGGCCTGGTTGGCTGATTGCTGTGGGAGGCCTTCCATAAGCCATGAAGAAACCTCTAAGTTTGGCCATGGTTCCCTTCAGTGATGCTGAATTGCATATGCTGAGGTCATTTTCACTGCAGTTCTGAAGGCTTTACTTACACAGGATAAATACTTTCTGTCTCCAAAATAACAGAAAACTATTCAGTATCAGCATTACACTGAAGAAATGAAATCTCATGGTAGCAGTATTTCATGGCCTTATTTTTAACTGTAATGCTCACTGCTTCAGGTTTACATCCCAACAGCAAATTTCACTTCCATGTTCAACCTTCTCAGTGTGCACAAAAACAAGATCCTCAGTAAAATAACCAGACCTCACACTGCAAGGGGGGATAAATACACTTTTGTCCACACACTTTACTGCACCCTAAGAGGCCTAAGAAACACAGACCCTGTTGGATGCAGCAGCATCAGAACACTAAAAATATTTCAAAATATTTCAAATTACCTATCTTAAAATTGTTTTTCATGCTCTGGTGGTTGAACCAGCTAATGTACACTCAGCATTTTTGGGCCAGCACCCAAAATACATGATGACAGCCACTGCTGCACTTAGTGGCATTTCAGAGGTTCACTTGAGCTGGCTAAGGAGTTTGCTCATGCTCAGGGGCCTTGACAGGGGGATCTGAGCCCCAGTCTTCCCATCTTTTCATAAAACATGAGCTGCAGAGCCCAAAGAGAAGGCACTTCAGTGACTGTGGTTCATCAGCTCAGTACCCCTAATGATGGGACCCCTCCAGAGCACAAGGCAAATCTCCAAGGATCCCCTGGAGCTTTGGGACTTCCAGCCTTGAAGTATTCTCACCCTGGGGCTTTCTTTGCCTAAGCCCATGTGTATCTATTAACCAATCACAGATATCTGGAAGGAATCACTAGTATAATTATTCTGCACACTGTGACAAAATTTTTTAGGCTTTTATTTTAAAAAAAATCAAACCCCAACAAGAAATGAGTATTTCCAAACCCAGCTGTGCAAGTCAGGCAGATTTCCAAGCATGCACCGGCATAAAGGTTAAGCACTCAGTAATTCAAGTGTCTTCCACTTACAGTAATAAAACTTCTCATGATTTATCCAGGAGCAGCTGCTGCCCTTGCTTAGCAAATGTAACTGCCCTGTAAAATTATTTTCTATTCATAAGACTTGGAGAGAATTATGTTTTTATGTTAACATAACTCGGAGCTGATGACTTCTGTCTCCAGCTTTTCCTGCTGCTTTAATTATAACAGTGCTTTAACACTTGCAGTAGAAAACTGCTGAAAATGCATTTCTTGTATTGAAAATGATGAAAAAAAAAAAAGCCTTTGGCAGATGTTTGATGTCACAGATGTTCAGTCCCACAAAGGTTAACCAAAGTACACCTTTAAAAGGGTGTGAGGATAACAGAAAAGAATCGTTTACAGTTGTATCTTTTCGAGGATACCCGGGATATGAACAGAGCCCTGGTTTATGTCTGATTTCGGCTCTGCTGGTGTGTTTGCAGTCAGTGCCATGGAGTCACTCCTACAGCACATACAGCTGAGTGACGTTAGCGCTTTTACCCTAGATCACAGCTTTTATAAAAGCTCCCTTTTTAATGGGCAAGAAGCGAACAAAACAGTCCAGCCCACGCACCTGAGGATGAGCAGCGTGTCCCAGAGATGCCTTGGGCGCTGCTGCTTGCTGTCCCTGCTGCTGTCCTCAATACTGAGCTCTATTACCACTACCCTGTTACCTCTGCAGAGACATCAAGAGCCCTTTGACTTTCAATACCAATTACTTCAGGCAAGTTAGACACCTATTTGACGATCTGAGGTGCTTATCTACTGACTGAATAGCAGATATTCAGTTCCTCTACAGCTCATCTCTACAGCTCTAGCCACCCCAGCAAACACTTCTCTCTGTTTTTAAATTAAATGTAGGAAGCCGAGGGAAGCAAGCAGCACCCGGAGAAGCCAGCCCACTCAGTAAAGTGTCACATACAAATAGGGAATGACCACAAAATACCCCTCTTTTTTTCTTACTCTTTTTCACCCAATATGTAGAAATAGAGGTCAGTGGAAGCCAGAGGGCATTTGCCCAGTTATGAGCAGCCTGTGCAAGATGTGATTTAGCTGATGCTATTAGGCTGGGAGAGAGGCAGAAGGCTCTCTTCTAGGAAATGCTCTGTGTGAATGGCTCTGTGCTCAGATGCAGCATTCACAGGCCCGGGTGCCGGCAGGGTTCTGTTTGTTTGCTTGTTTTAAACAACAGAGTTCAAATGTGTTCACACCGGAGCAGCTTTGGTGGGTACATGCAGCAAAAGGAGCGCTGGGGCTTGCAGGGAAGCACACCCCAAACCACAGCCTGCATTTTGCAACACCATCTCAGCAGGCTCAGGGACTGGTTGTTTTGCCCCTTTGTCTCGAACCACATTTTCAAGTGTTTGGCTCTCAGTGGCCAATCCATCTCCCTGGAGTGTGCAGCTCCCTGCCCAGGAGAAGCAACAACCGCCCTTACAAAGACCTCAGATGGTCTTTTCATTTGGCAGTGATTTAATTGCAGCTCTTGCTCCAGGACAATATCAAAGACAGCTCAAGAGTCCTGACTACAAAGAGCTTTGGAGCAGGCGTTCTGACAGCAAACTGTTCTCACCATTGTTCAGGCTCCCCCTTTCCAAAGGCAATGATTCAGCTCCACCAGGACGGGCAGGAAGCCTCCAGTTTCTCAAAAACTGGGTAATGAGATTAGGGGAGCGGCTCAGGAGGCTTTTGCTCTGCTCTGTGGAAGAGACCTCTGCTCTCTAAGAACCTCGTGTGCCTCCTCGGGGCCTTCTGATTAACATCTCTGAGGGGAGGGCTGCAGCCCATCTGGTGGGAAGCCTGGAATATTTCAGTTGAAAAACTAGAGAGGGACAAACTATGAATTCAAGAGGCATACACATAATTTTAACCCTTCCTTGGGTATTACCCTTCGGATAACAGGTAATGATAAATGAAAAGCTGGATGGGGCTTTGAGCAACCTGGTCTAGTGGAAGGCGTCCCTGTCCATGGTAGGGGGGCTGCAACTAGATCACCTTTTAATGTCCCTTCCAGCCCAAACCATTCTATGATTATATGAAAGGCAAAAAACTTGCATGCTACCATTTCACAGTGGCTCTGCAAACAAGAGAAAAAAATAACACTCTGCGTATTTGCTCTGAGCAAATATACAGATTGTAATATTTAATAATGTGTTTACTCCAAGCTGTTTATAAAGTCAGAAATAATTTTTGCGCAGAAAATACGTGTGGCATTTAGTCCTGTAAAGACTTAAGCTAGGGTATGTCTCCTCTCAAAGAAGAGAGGACACTCCTTTGCAGCTTTCCTTCCTCCCTGCAGAGAAGACAGTCCAATAATGGAACATAGTCCTAGAGGGGCATCAAAATCTGTCCTTGCTTATGCAGTAGCAGTGAACGAGGGAGGAGTAGGAAGGAGGAAAAACACATGCAAATCCCTAGAGTTTAAAAGTAAATTTAGAAGACAGATGAGGACTCCAGGGCTTGTCAAAATGAAGGTTGCCACCCCTACATCAACACTGCCAATTCCCTTGAAAAGAGCAGCCTTATGGCTCCTGCAAATATTTATGCAGAGATTTATTAACTGCAGTTACATGAACAACATGAACTTCAGGATTCATCTCCTTGAGATATTTATTTTCATTAAAAACAAACTGTTTGGGAAACACAATACGTATTTCCCTCTACACTTCCATCCATCTGGTTTCAGAGGAGCAATTCTATGGAATACAAACAGTCCTAGGCACCACACAAAGTACTAGACAATGTTTAAACCTCACACCCAGCAATACAGCCTTTACTCCAGTAAAGCAGAGTAGGAGCAAGTTCACATTCAGGAAAAACATAACTGAGATACACAGAGGCTTCCAAGAAGGACTTAGATGGGAATTAGCTCAGGTTTAAAAGTTAGAGAAGTAAAAAAAGCAAGTACACAAATCGAAGTACACAGTCCTTCACAGTTATCTCAGCGGTGAGGGGAATGGTGGTTCAAGAAAATCAGCTGCACAGAACAGCCGCTCCCTAGGTGGAGAGTGCCAAAACATGCAGTTTCAGCATCTGAAGGGGGAGAATTACTCTACCAGGATCGTATCAACGCTTTCTTGGATGAGATCTGGCTCCAGTATACATTCATCTAAGTGGCCTTGGGACAAGCTGGAGCTCTTGCCCACACTCTCGCTGTCACAGTAAGGGTGAAACCTGGGGGTGGCTGGGCTCTCCAGCCGCTGGCAGCGGCTGTACTTGTGCTGCTTCCCTCTGTGCGTGTACATGTGCTCCAGCAGCTGGCTCTTCCGGAAAAACGTGCGGCCGCAGACGGTGCAGCTGATCTTTCTCTTTCTTGAGAAAGAAAAGTTACAGTTCAACTCCACCGGTTCGTGGTCCTTGGAGATGAGGGAGAGCTGCCCGATCTGCAGAGGCTCCAGGTCGCTGCAACTCGGATGCTCCAGCTGATGCTCGTCCTCCTTGAGGAGGAAGGCCCCGAGGCGATGGCCATCCCCAGGCTCCCTGTCCTCAGCCAGAGGCTGCACTTCACCCAGGTCGCTGCTCTCCAGGATGGAGGCCGGGACGCCGAAGGGCAGCGAGCCCGAGACGTGGCCATGCAGGTGGTGCCGCAGCCCCTCCCGCGAGTCAAAGCGCTCCCCGCAGTAGTGGCACAAGTGCACCTTGAGGCTGCCCTTGGCAAAGATGGGGCTCGTTACCTCCGGAGAAGGAGGGGTGCAGCTCTGGGACACCACGGGCTCCGAGTCGCACCTCTCCTGCTTTATGGAAACTGAGAGCTTCGGGCGCTCCTCTGCCGGCTTGGCGAGAGCCGCGGGCTGGGCCGAGGGGCGAGCGACCTGCTGCTCCAGGGGGCCGTCGTCCAGGCCGATGGCCAGGGACAGCTGCAGCTGGGGGTGATCGCCCTGGGCCGCGGACCTGACGCCCGCCTTGGGCAGGCTTTCCTTCGCTCCCAGGCGCTCCTTCGCCAGCTTGTGTGCTGTAGAGATCTGGATCCCGTACAGGTTGGAGGACTGGACCGGCTCTGGGGAGAAGGCCTGGTTCATCTCGATGGCGATGTGGGAGAGGTGGTCTGCGTGCAGAAAGCGGATGCCCTCCTCCAGTCGGCTCTGGCTGACAGTCTGCTTTGGCCCTTTCCCAGTGTACATGATGTGTAACAAGTAACTAAATATGTCAGGCTGGATGTCTGTAGGCTGAATTTTTATGCACTCGCTGAAACAAAACAGATGATTAAGTACATACAGGAATCCAAATCCCGATCCATTACCTGCCCATTTGCTGTGAGAGCACTTTTACAAGCAGCACTCCCTGCCAAGCCCTGCAGAAGTGCAGAAGCTCTGTTTGCAAAGCCAAGTGCCCGAGTCTGCATTTATCCCTGTGATTCTGAAGACCATGTGCACAACTGCAGCTAAGGCTGGTGCAGGTGACCAGCCCTGGCCACCCCATCCCTCCCATGCAGAGCCAGCTGCAGCTGCAGGCACCGCACCGATGCCATGCAAGCTGTGCATCACCAGTGTGTGCCATTCCATTTATTTGAGTAGGGAGTTCAGCTGCCAGTACTATGTAATCTTTATGAGTATTGCACTTAAGTGTCAGCAAACAACATCCACAGGGAAGGGCAGTTATCTCACTTCCAGACAAGGGGCGATGCAGTTGATCCTAAAGATTATCTCGCAGAGATGCTGGAGGCCACGACCATCAGGAAGGAAGGGGAATGAAGAACAGTTTAATACATTACAAGCAGCCAGCCCCAGGTCAGAGGCCAGACCTTGGCACTGCTGTTGTTATACCTGCAGAACCACTCCTGACCTGGCCAGGTGAAGCATGTGAACAACAGCTTGAAATTAATTGATGATCTCAGTCTCGGCTCTTATCTCCAAGAGTCTGAAGCACAGAACTATGATAAGGCCACAGCTTCTGGATTGTTTCAAGCCTGTGGATCCTGCCAGAAAGGACAGTCTCACCCAGCAAGCTTGACTACAACCTAAAGCAAAGTACTGGACATATTGCACATGGGCAAGGAGGTACCAGGATATCCCTGGATTCCAAGTCTGCATGGTTCTTACTGCAGGAAGATGGTGGTACTTACATGCTTTGTTTATCTGGTCACGCAAATGTCTCATCTCCAAAACGCAGGGTCTGATTTTGCCATATGCTGACTAAGAAAGTGGTTTAAAAGGGCAATGTGTTCTGGACTGGGATTGTTTAGAGAGCCAAGGCCTATGCTGGGTTAGGAAAATAATCTCAGGTCACCTAATATCCCCATTTATACTCATTTAGACTTTTATACCTTTAGAACCAAGAAAAAGCAGAACGCTGAGAGTGGTAAAAGGATAGGAAGAGAGCTGTGTGTTCTTACCTCGTCTGGTGAATAAATATCATCTTAAAATAGTTTGAAAAAGCAGCGAGCACCGCTCTGTGGGCTTTGAAGTAAACATCTCCAATGGCAACTGTGCAGTCACACAGAAAGCCAAACTCCCGCTGCATGTTCAGCTGCTGGAGGAGGAGGATGCTGTGGCCGGTGGTATCCATGGTGTGCCTGGGAGCAAGGGAACAAGATGTTCATCTCATTAAGAAATCAGAGAGCTCCCAAAGGCTCAAATGTTGACTTCTCAGCACCAAAACGAGATGGACGCCTGGCATGGAATCTCTTCCCCTCCTCCAGATGGTCCCTGCACCCCAATGTAACAGTTTCTCCTTCCGATACCACCGCTGGTGCTCAAAGCCACGACCAACGAGCTCAAAACCTCTCGGGGACTTTTCCATCTGCCAGCTACACTCAGAGATGCTTCTCCCGCTGATTAACTAAGCTCCGTGGGGTGTCAGCACTAACTTTAAACCTGGCTCGCGTTTTCTCTCTGATCTGATGGTGCTTTCTCCTGCCCCGGAGCCGCAGCGGGGGCACGGGGGAGCGGGGCTGAGCCCGGCGGCTCCGGCACAGAGGAGCCCTGTGCGCCCAACAAAGCCCCCATTGTGCGGGCTGAGCCGCCCTCGCCCCGCCCCGCCAGCGGCCCCTGCGCAAATAAACGCCGATATTTGCTATTGTCTGGGCAGAATATTGTTGGGGGGGAGGCACGACCCGCAGCGGGAGGCGGCGAGCGCAGCCTCCCCGTGGCGCGGGACCAGCACCCTCCCTCCCTCCCTCAGCGCCGGCCCCGCTCCCCGCGCTCCCCGCGCAGCCGCTTACCCGCACGGAAGCGCCGCCACCGCCCGCCCCCGCTGCCCGCCCGGCGGATGGGGTGGGCGCTGCCCCCCCGCGCTTCCTGCCGGGCGGGCTGGGCCTCGCCGGGCCGGCCAGGGATGGCCAGGGATGGGCTTCTCCCGGGAAAGGCGAGCGCGGCCCTCAGCGCGGCCCTCAGCGCGGCCCCCGCGGGCGGCACTGCCCGCGCTGCTCCCGTGCGAGAGAGGGCAAGAGCCTGTGTACCCCCGCGGGGGATTTTTTTGGGAGGGTGCGCGTTTTGCCGTGCCGAAGGCATCACCCTGGGCTGGGGACCTTGCCTTCTTACCACCCGGTGGCGGAGTGTCGTCTGCTCTCGGCATGAAGTGGGTGGGGGGGTGGGGGGGGGGG